AATTGTGAAAGGCCACTTTCTAAATGAAAGGATAAGTATTTCTGTTCCACCCTGTTATCGATGCTGTTAGATTACGTTCTTAAATCTAATTTGTATCCCTTCTTCCCTGATAAAAGGATCCTAATCGGGGCCTGTCTGTGGAATCCTCACTCACCCCATTGCCCAAAGAACATTTGGAAATCTAGGTTAAGGAAAAGGAGGACCCAGCAAAGTGACACAGGCTGGATAGATTTTTTTTTTTCTTCCTACTTTATTTCCCCAGAATTTTTTTTTCCATGTAAAGACAAAACCTAGTCAGTGCCCCATCAAAATCTTCTTCTCTTTTGAGACAAAACTCCTGAAAGGCATGTGATGGTCCCAACCAGGTGGGGTAATGGCAGGGATTTTCTCTTTTCTTTGGGAAACTGCCATGGGGATAACTCATCTTCTTACTATTAATCACTTTAATCGACTTTTGAAAGAGGAAAATTGACCAAAAAAAAAAAAAAAAAAACCAGGAATTGACCTCATGCAGTTTTCCAGAGCATAATTACTTTTTCTTCTTTTATGAGTGAGCACATTGTGTGTAGAGATCATGAAAGGAAATCTTTTACCTTTGAAAAGGCAAATTGCCTGGTGTTTTACTTGCACAGTGGGAAAAACTGTTAAAGTCCAGGTCTTCCTCTCCTGTCAGTGGTGTGGTCCACACTCCCTCCCCACTCGCTGGCCCCACTCCCACAAGGCTGGGCAGAGGTGTGTTTTGGGGGGGGATTTGGTAGTTTACAGAACATCCTCACTGGCGTTCAAGTACCATGGACAGATGCCAGACAGGCACTGGATTTAGCCTCCCAGAAGTACCTCACTCAAAATGCAGATACTTTTTTAAAACTAGAATTGAAATTAAAATTTGAAGAAAAATAATAAACAAATAAATAAACAAACAGATATACTTTTTTTAAGTAAAAAAAAAAAAGCCTTTCCTAATGATTTTACTAAGTTGGTAAACTATGGACATGGTAGAGAAAAAACAGCAGTTATTCACATCTTGGTGGTTCCTCAACTATGAACAAGGTTCATTTCCCCTTTGTCTTTATTATCTCATCAAACCACCACTCATTCCTGAATTTCCTAAAGTAAAATCAGAGCAAAACGAATTAACCAATGTCATGTAATCTGAGTACATGGTTTTAAAATGTAAGAAACTGTAGATTTTAGGGGTGCCTAGGTGGCTCAGTCAGTTGAGCATCCGACTTCAGCTCAGGTCATGGTCTCACAGTTCGTGGGTTCGAGCCCCACATCAGGCTTTGTGCTGACAGCTTGGAGCTTGGACCTGCTTCAAATTCTGTGTCTCCCTCTCTCTCTGTCCCTCTGCTGCTCATGCTCTTTCCCTCTCAAAAATAAATAAACATTAAAAAAATAAAAAAAAGAAACTGTAGATTTTAAAATTTAGTTTTCAAATGTAAGATTTAAGAAATGGCTGCAGTGCCAGGCAAAGCCACCCCTAACGTCCATGCCCTGAGGGGATGATCATCATCAAATCACTTCATGCTTCAACCACTTGTTGGGCTTCGGGGACAAGTGGGTGGGATGGTGCCTGGAGTCGGGCCAGATGTGAGGCTCCATCAATCAACACCTCCCTCTGCTCATGGCCTCCAATCTCATCAGCCTCTCCATATACACTGAAGTTACTAACAGGGGGATTAGCATAGGATGGGAGCTCCCAGAGCGTAAGAAAGAGGTAGCATGAACAGCATATTACTTTGAAAGAACACCATTTTACATTTCTATGTTCATTTGCTCTATCCTGAATACATAACAATTTATCAATATGCTGTCGTTTTGAGTAGAAACCAATGGAACCAAAAGGGAGCTATGGAGAAAAATGGCGGAAGAGCAGATGGGAAGAAGAAGAAAGGACCCCATAAAATGGCAATCTTGAGAAAAAAATATATCTAGGTGGCTTGTTTCCTGCCACAAAGGGAAAAGCAAAGTAAAGCACTCAATTATAAGCAGGTTATAGTGGTAAAATAATAAACTGACTTAAGACTTTTGTCTTTTTAGACAAGATGCCTAGGAAAAGCACTTTTACCTCAAAGGAAAGCTACATCATCTAGAATTTCAGGGTATGCGTGCACCTTGCCATGAAGGACAGGTGGCCTGTACACATGCATTTTACAATGGAATGATGCCTGTACAAAGTGGGTTGGTGGAGGACAAGGTCTATTTGACCAAAGAGCTCCTCACCAGGAGCTGTTCAGCCTAAGCCGAATGGTGTCCATACCCAACATTTTCTCCGTTGCAAATTGATATTCTTTGTTCCTCTCCCACCGTACCTTTAAAATTTTCATAAAGGCTCCCTGAATAATACAAACTGATAAAACGCTAAAAATTGACAACAGCTGTTCACTAATTGAGTTTATATGAAAGTTTCATTAATCGCAGAGAACCACAACAGATTGAGAAACATCGCCAATGTTCTTTGCACTGAGACTCCCCAATCAATCCTTTATACAGTTGTCAGCATAATCTTTCAAGACCTCAGATTTGATCTACATAAAATCTCTCAAAGGCGTCAAAGGCTCCTGAATGCCTTCATGATTAAACTGAGACTCCCCTAACTTGGCATCTAAGGCCTTCGTGGTCTAGTGTCTGACTACATCTCTTTAATCTCCCACCAGTCATTCACATACAGCCTATGCTACAGGCATATCAAAGAACTCAGTTTATTTAGTGTTCCGGACTTTTCCTCTGTCATTTGTGCCTGTGCTATCAAATACACTAGCCACCAGACACAGATGGCTACTGTTTAGAATACGATTAGTTCAAATTAACCCATGCTACGGGTGTAAATAAACACCAAATTTCAAAGACTTAGCAGAAATATCTCACTAATAATTTAAAAATATTGGTTAACTTTTATTATTTTTTAAAATTATGAGTGAATTTTTTTTAAGTTTATTGATTTTGAGAGGGGGGAGGTTAGAGGCAGAGAGAGAGGAAGAGAGAAAATCCCAACCAGGCTCTGCTCAGCTCAGAGTCCAGTGCAGGGCTTGAACTCATGAACTGTGAGCCCATGATCTGAGCCAAAATCAACAGTTGGACGCTTAATCGACTGAGGCACCCAGGTGCCCCATAAATACTGGTTACCTTTTAAATGATAATAGATTTGTTGAATTAAATAAAGTATACTATTACAGTAGATTTCACCTGCTGCTTTGAACTTTTGTTTAATATGGTTCACATTTGTGGTTTACGTGATGTTTCCATCAGGCAGCACTGGTCCACAGTTATGCCCAAGCTCCCTCCGCAAGAGGTCCCTCCTCACTTAATCTACCCAGATAGCTACTCCCCATCCTATTAAGACTCAGCTCAGCATCACATCTCCTGGAGAAGCTTGCCTAGTTGAATTCATGCTCCTCATATCTCCATTATAAAAACATTCACATAACACCTATATTGTAGTCACCTTTTTAGGTGTTAGTCTCTTTAGACTGACTCCTTGAAGGTGAAAATGCTTTCTCCATTATTTCTGCAGGAAGCACTGCCATCCTATGAATGCTTGATTAATTAAATAAAGGTCACTCCAAACTTGAACATCAGTGGAATTCACTCATTTATCCCCTAACACATATTTAATGAGCACTTGCAATGCACTGGGAGAGAAATAAAGATAATATAATCCCTTCTATTTGTACAACTTATTGCAGTTTACAAAGTACTAGCATTTCCAGTTCCTTTTTCAAAACCTTTATCAGGGGCAGGCCACTTATTTATATTCCTTTCTCAGATGAGGAAACTAAGGCCCAAAGAGTTTAAGTGACTTTCCCAAAGTCATGCAACATTAGAACTCGATAATGGGAGGTCTGACAGTTAACTCGATATTCAAGAAGCAACAAATAGTTCTGAGTGGCTGAAATAAAGGATGTTAAGACATAAAGCCAGAGACATGTTGAAGAGTCAAACTGTGTCCAGTCGGCCAACATTCTTCAAATTTTAGCCAGTTCCTACAATCTTTATGAGCTTTGCCACATCCAAGAGCAACCTAGACTATTATTTCCTCAGTATTTTTAAAATGGATTCCATATTGACTCACTTACTTTACTTTTCATCCAAAGTAGTAACATCAATGGTTTGATATATATATGCTATTACTAAAATACAATAACATGATAGTATACTATTCTTATTAATCTGTAATATATTCCTAACATATAATAATTAAGATGGAATATGTTGTATATTATAGTTTTACTTTAATATACATTAAATTAATTAAACAAGGAGGCCATTAGATTGAGTCGGTTCTAATGCCTTATCAGCTTATAGAAGCAAACCAAAACTCAAGTCTATAAATGCTTCAAGATTAAGAAATTGAAACCTGGGGGCGCCTGGGTGGTTCAGTCGGTTAAGCGTCCGACTTCAGCTCAGGTCATGATTTCACGGTCCGTGAGTTGGAGCCCCACGTCGGGCTCTGGGCTGATGGCTCAGAGCCTGGAGCATGCTTCCGATTCTGTGTCTCCCTGTCTCTCTGCCCCTCCCCCGTTTTGCTCTGTCTCTGTCTCAAAAATAAATAAACGTTAAAAAAAATTAAAAAAAAAAAAAGAAATTGAAACCTGAAGACAAGCAATCATAGACAATTAAAGAGACTTTCCCAAATAAAGCAACTCCTTGAGCTATAGCCAATCAAATAAACTCCTTGATTTGCTTCCGTGTCTTCTCTGCTAAAGTACTGCCCTTAGTTCCTGTTTGTAGAACGCTCCTAACCACTTCTGGTTTGGCGTTGCCCAGTTCAAGTTGACGTTTGCTCACAGAAACTCTTAATATTTTAATATGATTCAGTTTATCTTTCAACATATATATTTTTCTTAATAAATAGTAAAATAAATATATAAGTAGTAAGAACATTCGCCAGTATGCTCATAAAATCATTTTGTCCCCCACTAGGAATATCAATACTATCCACTGGGAAACTGCAATGGACATTAGGAATCCATTAAAGGATTTTAAACTTGGAAGTGACATAATGAGGTTGACATTTTAGACTTCTAGAAGCCAAGCTCCTAATCTGAAAGAAAGGAAGGAAGGTGATGAGATGGCAACTCCAGTCAATAGTAAGTCAAGAGAAGTTAATGTGAACTCAGAACCACATTTTTAATTACCTTTAAGTAAAAGAGACACTAAGATCATGAAGTGTCATGTGGAGTCTGATGTAATGTCATCTCCTACCTCTGAATGAATCAGATTGCACATGAAATAGTGCCATATAAACCAGCAAAATACTTTCTTGGCTGTGGTCAAAGATCATGTTTCTGAAAGTGCAAATACCAGAAGCGTCTGAATAATAAAATTATTATAAGAGAATCAAGAAAAAAACCAATTAAATGGCATTGGCCTGATCATTTTTTGTGGAGGGTGGTTTGTGGAGACCGTGTTATCTGCTGAAATAAGAATGGTAAGTTGGCAATGTCACGCTGGCGAAACTCATTTGAGACACATCATCAATGACATGCTACAATCTCCCTGTAATGCAGGAGTTGTAGTTTTAATGATCATCTATATGTTCTGGTGGATTTTATTTAAAAAAATTTTTTTTTCAACGTTTATTTATTTTTGGGACAGAGAGAGACAGAGCATGAACGGGGGAGGGGCAGAGAGAGAGGGAGACACAGAATCGGAAACAGGCTCCAGGCTCTGAGCCATCAGCCCAGAGCCCGACGTGGGGCTCGAACTCCCGGACCGTGAGATCGTGACCTGGCTGAAGTCGGACGCCCAACCGACTGCGCCACCCAGGCGCCCCAGTTCTGGTGGATTTTAAAGCATTACATTGCAATGTGAAAATGAATATTACATGATAAAATGTCTCTTTTCCCCCCAGTTCTGAGCAAGCTACATTTATTGGTTTGTGAGAGAGCTCCAGAGACAATGGAAGAGAACTGACAAACGGGGTTGTGTGAAGGCTTTGCTGGGACTCCTGACTTGGGCAATATTAGCTGTAGAACACTGCTTTCACAGAAGGAGAAGCCAGGAGGCAAAGCTAGGGGAACTCAGTTACACAATGAGCTGATGTCAGCACCACAGTTATAACTTGAGTCTCTTCAGACTAATTCCTTTTTGCAGGCAAAGGTCTTCAAATGTAAGCCCAAGAAGTTTTATATGCTTGTTCAAATTGCAGGAAACAGAGCTGCTCTCTTCATAGCGCCTTGTCGCCAGGTCCAAAGGCACTCCTGGAGCCAAGCCTTCCCTCCGCTGAAGGCACAGGACCCACCGAGGGCCATCCTCTGCTTCTTCTGGCTGGAAACATCACAGTGCCTCCTGTCGGCCCCCAATCCGGGTTTCTCCCATGGTGCTGCTGAGACCCAGCACTGCCAAGCACATCCTGGCCAGGCACCCTTCAAAGCAACGTCTCACGTGGCCACAAACCTAACTTTTGCCTTTTCCCAGGAATAAGGATTGAACTCAGAAATTGAAAGTGAGTTGGCGTTTTGCAATTGACATCTTGAAAGTGGAAAGAACACATTTTCAAAAGCTAGCTAGCTCCACACCTACATGAAGAGGCAGAGGAAGGTTACCTTGGTTTCCCTGTTCTCCAGACCACACCCATCACTTTGGTGACAATCATTTCTTTATTGGTCTTAAGCTTCCCTCAGTCCCCTGAGTCCACGTAAGTGAAGGAGGTTCAGGTCCCCACAGGGGCTGCTTAGCTTCTCTTTGCTGCTCCTCAGCTGTTCCCTCCTTCCTGGTGGCCTATGGCTGTGTGATGCTTCTGCCTCTCCATCTACTCTCTCAGTCCGGCATCCACGACATTTGCTCCCCCCACCCCCACCAATGCACTAGACGTGGCGTAACGTGCCTCCCACACACACAGCACCAGCACCTGCAGCGGTCATCACTGTACCCAGCCCCACTTACCTCAGTGCCTAGTATACAGCAGGCAGTGAGTAAGCATTTATTGACAGGCTGACCAACTGGCTATAGGTAAGATTCTTGCCTTTTGGGACAACCTCCCTACCGCTGAGAAGTCTATTATCTTTGCTCAAGAGTTGTAACTCAGTGACGGAAATTCAGACAGTTAATTATCTTTCTTTAGGCTAGGTTATTTATGGAAATAGGATGCTTGGTGGCTTGCCCTGACATCCCAAGTTCCTTGAGAAGTTGTGAAATAACTGCCCTTCTGTAATTCCATTAATTTTTTAATGGTCACCTAAGTTAAGTAGTTTCTACATAATTTTCATATGCAAATTCTGAGGCCTAAGTGTTTCAAATTCAATGAAAGTTAACGGTGTATATTTTCATTTTTGAAAACTCACACTGAGATAAAAGTCTTAGGTAAAAATATTCACAGCAGTTGGCAGAATTATTTGAGCAATTATTTAATGTAAAGGAAATGATCTCTTGAATTAAAAAGTTACAGAGAACGACCTTCAGAACTGTCATTTTAAGGCAAGATTGCACAGGTGTGACTGTTTTCACTGTCCCAGAGCACATTTGTAAGTCAAACAAGTGCATAAATACCAAAACAGAAGTCAGAAAATTATGACTGAGTTCCTCTGTTACCACCATTCCAAACGATCTCTTTGCAAACAAGGAGCTTTCTCTTAAAAACATTCTGAGCACTTTAACCACAGATGTTCTCTTAAAAGAATCTGTATGTCTCATTGACTATAAAACAGTGACACACACAAATATACCAAAAGAGATAGGAGAGCCACATTACCCTAGAATACACACAAATTGCAACTCAAATAGGGACAGAAGGAAGGAAAAAGCAAGGCAAATATGTTGCATACATTTTGGAGTTTGGAGAGAGGCAGTCAAGACAGTGGACTGTAAGTATTTTCTGGATGTCTGATTTTCACTGTAGGCATGTGTCAAATTTGCTTCTTTGACCAACAATTTTTTTAAAAAAATTGTTAAATTATCTTGTCCTTTGGGGCAAATCAGGCTAATCGCATCAATGTGAAGATTCAGGGGAAAGTTATGTATAGTTTTAGAAATTTACTATCACTGACTTGATGGTTTAATCTCCTACTTCTGCAAAGAAGCAAAATAGATGAGAATCATTGCCATATATGTTTGGGAACTTACGGCTGATTGAGGAAGCCATGACAGTATTTACTTAGTGGCAGGGCAAGAGTGACTTTCATTCAGTCATTTATTCATTCAATAGACACTTACTGAGCTCCTCTTATGTGCGAAGTATCTGAGGCAGAAGCATAAAGCAGGTGTATGTCCTCCTTGCGGGATGTGTGAAACATAAACCTGATTATAATACACAACAGAGAACATCCTGTGCTGTAGGATATGCAAGCAACATTGTTAGTAGATTCAAGGGGCAAAGGGAGAGCTTCTCCCCGGGCAGATTGGGGAGGGCTTTGTGGAAGATGTCACATGTCAGCATGAAAGAAAAGTGGATTTCAACAGTGGAGACAGAAAAGAAGGATGCAACAGTTGAGCGAGAGCGTATAAGCAAAGGCACGAGGGAAGACATGGCAGTGAGGAAATCGTGGAGTTTGTTAAGAACTTGCTATAGATAAAGGGCAACGCTTGGAATTAAGTCTGGAAAAATAGATTGAACCCCAAAAAGAAGACTTTAAATGCCAAGCTAGAGAGTTCGAACTTTATTAAGTGGGCAATGGGAAGTCATTAAAGGGTCTTGAGGCAGAGAATGGTTTAAGAGATGTAGTTGCGGAAGATTAATTGACATGAGCCCACAGGATATATTAGAGGGGAGAAATGGAAGGCGAGGAGCTCAACCAAGAGAACATTACTTCCTCCAAGTGACAGGGATTGAGGACAACTTTGGGGACAGGAGGAATGAAAACAAAAGGTAGATTCAGAAAACACTGAAGGCAAACATTGGAATAGCAAGAAGAAAGGCAAAGGGAACTAGTATTTATTGAGGACATACTACCTGTTACTCAGAACACTAGATATATAGGATAAACAAATGTCCTTTTCTTGCCACAATCTGTTTATGCCTTCTTTTCTTTTTTTTTCTTTTCTTTTGTTTTCTTTGATCATGAGATAATTATTAACAATGGCTCCTTTCATTCTCCATGTGTTCTGGCTCGGACAATGTGGTACACAATCCTGTTTTTATATACTTTTCATCTTTGCTTCCTCCAGTTTGCCATCTTCCACGGTGCACCTGAAGATGCTGAACATCTGAGGAGTCGCCTCATGGCGTGTGGCCAGTAGGTGGAAGAGCCTGGATTTGAATCCAGATCTATAGAGTTCCAAAACGGGTGTGATTTCTACTATATCTGCTCTCCTGCCCCCAAATTATGGCAGATGGTAGAGGGCAGAGAGGGGGACATTCATTATCAGAAAAGGAATGTCAGAGAGAATCAGGTTAGGGTACATGTTGACGGGTTCTGGTTTGCATGTGTGATCTCTTGTCAGGTCTCTAAGGTGCTGGAAAGATATAGAAGTAGCTGGAATACTGGCTGGAACCTGGGAGTGAAATCACTGTAGTTACAGGTTTGTGAGCCTTCCAAATCAACAGATGGGGGACGCTGGGGCTGAATGACGTGGCCAAGCTTGAGACTGCAGGACAAAGGTCACAGCTCAGATGCCTGCAGTGGCTGGGCAGGTCACACACATGAGTGGGCAGGTGTGAGACATTTTGGAGTGGCATGAGGAGGTGTTTGTGAGGATTATCTTCATTCCTCTCAGAAATTATTTGCAATTTTGGATAGACACAATATAGTCATTTAAATGGTAGTCTATTTTTTTTTTTTTAATTTTTTTTTTTCAACGTTTATTTATTTTTGGGACAGAGAGAGACAGAGCATGAACGGGGGAGGGGCAGAGAGAGAGGAAGACACAGAATCGGAAACAGGCTCCAGGCTCTGAGCCATCAGCCCAGAGCCTGACGCGGGGCTCGAACTCACGGACCGCAAGATCGTGACCTGGCTGAAGTCGGACGCTTAACCGACTGCGCCACCCAGGCGCCCCAATGGTAGTCTATTTCTTAATTAAAGCTGGCAACTAGAGTAATTTCCTGTATTTAAAAAAATCACAGTTTATTGGGGCGGCTGGGTGGCTCAGTTGGTTAAATGTCCGACTCTTAATTTTGGCTCAGGTCATGATCCCAGATCATGGGATCAAACCCTGTTTCAGGCTCTGTGCTGATTGTGGAGCCTGAGTGTGATTCTCTCTCTCCCCCTCTCCCTGCTTCTCTCTCTTTCAAAAAAAATGAATGCACTTAAAAAAATTAAAAAATCACAATTTATTTATAAAAATAGTTATTTTGTTAGTGATAAGACTAATTAACATAACAAAATTATAAATTATAGGCATTCATTTTTGTCTCCTTATTTTCCCCTAGGAGAGATCTCAAGTGAAAATTTTTTAAAAGTACAATTAGTTCTGATCAGAATCACCAGCTATGTGCAAGTATGTTAAAACAAATTGCAGTGCATTTTTACTGTCCTAAACAATGGCCAAATAACTCAGACACCATTGCCATGAGCACGTAGGTGAGGGCGGGATTAGGGGGCAGGGTAGAGGAAGCTGGGGGATGGAGGGGGACAGCATTTCAAAAAACAATATGCTCAAGTTTCAAACTTACATACCAACTTATTTATGTTAGAAAAAAAATTATTTATGAGAAAAAGCTACTAGTCTTGCCATTGTTTCACACTTTCCATTCAAAGGTAAGAAGTGCCTATAGCCTTCATGGGCCTACACCAGTGGTTCTCAAACTTTTACCAGTGTGGGATTTACTTGGACTTCTTTACTGGAGGACTCATTACAACACAGATTGCCGGGCCACCTCTCAGGATGTTCTGATTCCATCGTTCTGGGATAGGTTGTGAGAGTTTGTATATTTAAGCAGTTCCCTAGCAATGGTGATGCTCCTGGTCCGGGGACCACACTTTGAGAACCTGTGTTCTACACACCAGTGGGCATGCTAGACAGGGGCTGGCTGGCTTCTGTCTGTTTCGGAATTACCGTGGAGCATAAACATCCACTAAGGCCCTGTTTCTCATGGCACTCTGGAAAATGATTCAACGACATGGCTTGGAAAAGAGGTCCAACTTTTTGCCTCATTGTCTGTGTTCTGAATCCAACCTAGTTTAATATTTTGGAAAATGTTACCCTTTTCTGTACCGAGCAAAGTAAATATTTTGTCAGTTGTTAAGGATGAGCTGCAGAGTAAGACCTAAAGATGTATCCAAATTCAGCAGGAAAGCTTGGAGCTGCTTTGGAACTTTTTCCAGATTGTGATTTGTAATGTATTTCAGAAGCCAGCAGAAATACCAACCACTCGATCTATTAAGAAAAGGCTGAATGAACCTTTTCACAGCACTTTTTTTTTTCCACACCAACTCTCATTACGCTTGGCAAAGAAAAGAGAAAGAAGTGAAAAAAATGCGTTTCTGTCCATAGGATTTCATCTGAGCATTGTTCTCACATAAAGAACTTAGTAGCAGAGAGTTTTAGAATCGGAAGATCTTGAACAATTCCTTTGTGACAGTTAAAACAACTAAGGCTCAAGGAAGGTAAGTCATTTGCCCGAGGACCAGACAGTGGCAGAGCTGGAGCTGGAGTTAAGCTCAAAAGCTCTTGGCTCCTGGGTCAGCACTTTTCTTACCATGACACGCCACCTTCCATGCAGCAGAATCCTATGAGACCCATTTGAAAAACAAACAAAAAACAAATCCTACCAGTAGTGTATTTCATGCTGTGCTTTCCCCCCTAAGTCACTCAGGTATGGTTGGCTTTGCATAACGGCGACAGTGCTGGGGAGCAGACAGGAGAGGTCCTGGAGGGTGCTTTTCTCATCTTCCTTGCTAGGCATTTCCCGAATCATTTTCCATTATAGTGATTTGGGATTTTAACGTGATGGGTGGGTGGAGATAGTACAGACACAAACCTCATGGTAAGAAAGATAAGCCCCACATTTTGACAAAGACATATGTGGGGAGGACTTAGAAGGGCAAAGGGTCTTAGAGATCATTAGGTTCACACGTCTCATGTATGGATGAGGAAACTGAGGGTCTTAGGAGCCCAGGAACTTGCTGGGTGTTCAATCTATTCAGTGGCAGAGCTCATGCCTGGCCACGGGTCTCTTGTCCTGTAGCATGTTACCACTTGGACCTTATCAACCTGTCTACTGTACTATGGTGTGTTGATTTAAGCCAGAAAAATGCACGCTCCACTGTGAGTCTAGATCCAACAATACTGAATCTATTCAGCTTTCAGAAAGAAATATGACAAGGGTGCCTGGGTGGCTCAGTTGGTTGAGTATCTGACTTTGTTTCAGGTCACGATCTCATGTTCATGGGTTTGAGCCCCACATCGGGCTCTGTGTTGACACCTCAGAGTCTGGAGCCTGTTTCAGATTCTGTGTCTCCCTCTCTTTGCCCCTCCCCTGCTCATGCTCTGTCTCTCTTGGTCTCTCAAAAATAAATAAATAAATAAATAAATAAATAAATGTTAAAAAAATTATAAAGAAAGAAATATGGTAATAATAATAGCTAACATTTCTTTCTTTGTGTTTTTTTTTAATTTTATTTTTGAGACAGGGTGCGAGTGGGGGAGGGGCAGAGAAGGAGACACAGAATGTGAAGCAGGCTCCAGGCTCTGAGCTGTCAGCACAGAGCCTGATGCGGGGCTCGAACCCATGAACTGTGAGGTCATGACCTGAGCTGAAGTTGGATGCTTAACTGACTGAACCACCCAGGAGCCTCAACAGCTAACATTTCGTGAGTGCTAACTCTACGCTAGGCATTGTTCTAAGCTCTTTCCATGGACTATGCATTTAATCCATCATATCACTGAGGAAGATAGAATACTGTAAGGCAGGACGTGGAAATTAAAGATGAAATTAAGTAATGAATGTGAAGCACTCATGAGGCCTGTGCTATTTTCCCAGGACATGTTATTGTCTGTTAAATGTGATAATATAAGTAAAGGGTTTAAAATAGCTCTTGGCTCACAGAGCTTACTACATACTAGCTGTTATTATCACATTTTTCTGTTTCTTCAGGTGGAACAGACCAAAGCAACTGGATCTAGATAAAAGTTATGAGCCATGTTAGATTCAAACACAGGTAATATCCTTGGGAACCAGCTGCCACCAGCGGAGACCACAGAGACCACAGTGGAACTTGGATGAAAATGCACTCAAAGGCCAAAGGCTAAAGCCAGAGACCACAAAAGAACTGAATTAAACAAGTTTTTACGGGGCCTTGGTTTCAAGGAGCTCAGAGGGTTTACCAGACTTCTTGTCGGCCTTCATCACACCCAAGTTAGAGGGGAAAGTGAATATTGTATGAAGATGGCTTTCATATGAAGGCAGTCTGCAAAAGCAAAACTGATCACTCAAAGCCAGTGGGTGAGGACCCAATTTCCTTAACAAGAATGCACAGATATACTGGTGAAGGAAAAGAATATCCCCATTAATTAAGATGAAACAACAACACTACTACTCATTAAAGTACCCAAGGCAGGTAAACTGCCTTGTAAATTGACCACTTGGGAATGTTTGGCTTACCAGGTACTTGCACACCGGCAAGAAAGTCAGGAAATCCAGACAGAGTCCACCCTGCTGCTGCTCACCTCCTCTCCTATCTGGCAGCCAGAAAGGATTTGTTCTGTTTTGTTACGGAGGGATAAACTAGGATCAGTGAGTGGAAGACTCATGAAGGTAGATTTTTGGCTCGAGAGAACACTTTTCAAAAATTAGATGACCCAGTGATGAATGTGCTGCTAGCTAAGGTGATGCGTGCTCTGTAGGTGATCAAGGAGAAGCCCCAGGAACACACATTCGGTATGCAATTATGGGTATCATAATTTTCATTATTGTTGTAATCATTATCTTATTAGCATTCCACCGGGCAGATATGGGCATTGATTAGTGTTGAAAATGGTTCCACCGAGAGAGGCCAGTTGATTTTAGGTCAAACTTGACTTTGAATGAAGGTTCTATCATTTACCAGTTATATGATTTACAGCTGGTAATTAAACCTCTCTAAGCCTCAGTTTCCTCATCTGTGCAACAGAGATTACAATAAGTACCTCTCTTGTTCATTTATTCATTCACCCGATACTTAACAAGGCATCTACTGTGGGCAAGGCACTTTTCTCGGTGTTGAGGATTTGGTGATGAACAAGATAGACAACATCTTTATTCTCCATGGGGTCCACATTTCAGAGTATGTGGAGAGAGTCAGAAACTATACGAGTAAAAATAAATATAACAAACTAATAAGCTGATTAAATACTTATGCAGGTAGTAATAAATGTTGTGAATCAAACAAGATACGATGTCCAGGATGTCTTTAGTTAGGATGGCCAAAGAAGACTTCTCTTAGAATGTGACATATACATTGGAACCTAAAATAAGAGAAGGGGCCCTATGACCTGAGCTGGACTACTGTGTTTGGAGTGGGGTGGGGTGAGTAGTTTCAGATGAAGTTGATGGAGAGGATTAAAGGAGGTAATATAGGATGATCTGCCTTACAGTTCACGGTGCACAGAAAGCACTTGTGTTATTCCTACTAAAAAAATTTCATGACACATCGATGCGCTTGTGTAGACGGCAGACAGAGGCATCACTTCTCTATTACTGGATATTCCCAAATGCCCGGGTCTCACCACCCTGCTAATACCCAATCCAATCCTAGCATGATCTGAATTTTAACCACTGGAGAGTACAGCATTTCAGAGCTAGAGGAGAACTTGGTCGTTCCAAACATGAATTATGACATCATGATAATGGGTAATCTGAGGGTTCCTTGGAGCAGCCTCTGAAGCCTTGAGAAACAGAAGACTGGGGTGGTTAAGAGGATGGGACCCTAGGCCTCCTGCTATTACTTCAACCAGAAGAATTCTACAAATGTCTGTTTTATTTTTTATTTTTCACTTGAAAACTGAGTTGTTTTGCTAAAGACAACCCTAAAGCTTGAAAGTCCAGTTTTGTGGGTAAGGAAATTGAGCCTCAAAGAAGTTAAATGACACAGTCAAGGTCATTTAGCTGATAATTGGCCAAGTGGAACTAGGACCCATCTCCTGACCTCTGATTTAATAATTTCTCCCTATGTTTTGTTAAATAAAACACATACACCCCCCTGTATAGGTATGGGATTTGTTTCTGTGCAACTTTGTGCTAACCAATTACCTTTAGTACAAATGTATATCTGAGTTCTGATGCTTTGGAAGATATCACTTCTATTTAATTAATTTTGAAACAACAAATACAGATCCTGTTTTCAGTGTCTTGCAGTTCACAGAGGTTTCCTCAGAAAGAAAAGATGTTTCAGTTAGAGTCTGGGAGTAAAATGTGAGGGAATAGGATTAAAGCAGAAATTTCTGAAAAAAAAAGTTTTAGAAGTTGAATTAGTCTTTCTTTCCTCCTCTAAGGGAAAACTAAAACTAAAAATTGGTGAACTACACCAATTGGTGTATTTTGCTAGAAAAAAACAGGTATAGTTTACTAGAATAAACTATGGAGTTGGGGGTCAAAAACTGGCAGAGGTTTAGGAAAAGAACAAAAGATATGATTTGCACGATGCTGAGAATGAACAAGGATACCCAATTCTAGGAATCACTACCTTTGATAGTGGCAACTGTTTTTGTTCTGTTTAGACTCAATTTCTCGTGGAGAAGTGGGGGCCACATGGCTACTCCATGAGAAGCAGGTTTGGAAGAAGAGAGAAATCTGCAAATATTTTTGAAGACATATGTCAAACACCTGCTTCAGGGACAAGAAGTTGGGCAGGAGGGTTTGATCAAATGGAGGCAAATTTCCTAGTTGGAAAGGGATAGTAACAACGGGCAGCCTTTGGTACTTTATTCTGTTTTTGACCATCCAAGCACTACTGCCTCGTAGGACGAGGTAATTTCAAGTGTTTCCTGGATTAGCTGACAGCAGTTAAGAATAAGTTGTCTCCCTTTTGGTCAATTAATGCCAGCAACTAAAGCAAAGGGACAGGAGCATTTTCACTAGGTTGCAAATCTTCCGAGCTCAAGGGACTCTCAGAAGAAGGCTAATAGTTTTCTCTTCAACTGAGAGTAAAGCTGTTCCAAAAACTCCTACAACTAAATGGAAAATAAAAAGACGCAAATGAGGCCAATACTTGCAGTAAGTATAAATGACTATCTTCGCTCTAGATAGACTTCATTCAAATTGCTAACGCAAAGTAAGCAAATTCACAAATGAGAAAATGCAATTAGTAAATACACAAATGAGGAAACATTCACACTAAAATCACAATGAGATGCTGTACCCCCTCCTATTGCATGAGAGCTGACAAGGGGGCAGTGAGGTTGGTGACCTCATGCATTGCCGGAGAGCGGCGTAAATCGATACAGCCCTTCCAGAAAGAAAGCAATTTGGCAACACATATTGAGCTATAAACACGGTCATACCACATGACCAGTGATCCCACTTGTCAGACTCTATCTTAAATAAAAATATGTGAAAAGCTATAACCATAAAGATGTTGGAAGAATGTTTAAAATATTACAAAGTTAGGGGCGCCTGGGTGGCGCAGTCGGTTGGGCGTCCGACTTCGGCCGGGTCACGATCTCGCGGTCCGTGAGTTCGAGCCCCGGGTCGGGCTCTGGGCTGATGGCTCAGAGCCTGGAGCCTGTTTCCGATTCTGTGTCTCCCTCTCTCTCTGCCCTCCCCCGTTCGTGCTCTGTCTCTCTCTGTCCCAAAAATAAATAAACGTTGAAAAAAAAAATATTACAAAGTTAGAATGGGCAAGGAATTTCAATTCAATTCAGCGAATGGTAATTGAATATCCACCAGTAGCTGGGTATAATAAAGGAGAGTTCCTTTCCTCAATAATTAATAATCACAGCTTAATGCCTGTACTCTTTTCAGTGTTAGGCACCCTTTGGAAAGAAGGTTATGGAGACACGAAGAGATTAAAATGTGTGCAATATATTAAGTTTAAGAAGCACAAACGATATATTTATCATAATGTTCAGAGGGAAAAAAGAAAATGAAAAAGCCCTGAAGGAAATAAACCAAAATGGTACCAATAACAGAATCATGGGTCATGTTTTCTTTATCTTAATTTTTCTCTAATGTTGGTAATATTACTTTTAAAATAAAGAACAATAATAAAATGGAGTAGAAATACAGAGAAAAATAAAGCAGTGATTGAATAAAGAAGAAGATCAATGAGGAAAGTCCCAAGTACACTTAAGAATTTTTATTCATTTAGGGGCGCCTGGGTGGCGCAGTCGGTTGAGCGTCCGACTTCAGCCAGGTCACGATCTCGCGGTCCGTGAGTTCAAGCCCCACGTCAGGCTCTGGGCTGATGGCTCAGAGCCTGGAGCCTGTTTCCGATTCTGTGTCTCCCTCTCTCTCTGCCCCTCCCCCGTTCATGCTCTGTCTCTCTCTGTCCCCAAAATAAATAAACGTTGAAAAAAAAATTTAAAAAAAAGAATTTTTATTCATTTAAATATTGCTTTTAATTGTATATCTGTAGTAATTGATTAGCACTAAGGACTTGTCAATTTAATAAACTGTTTTATTTTAGTAGAAAAATTGTGAGGGTTCTAAAACAGAGATTTATTGAACCTCACTCATGGAGACCTTCAGAATCTCACATAAATAAATTACCTGGAAGCAGGAATTTAGGAAATGCTGCTATCTAAAAATGACAGGCAAAAATTTACTGCAAAGGTTTGGGCTTGAAGAACAGAGAAGATTCTGGGGTCCCAAAAGTGGCTCTTCCTGGCACGGACCTTCCTGCAGGTAATGGAGCAGAATAACCTCTTCAGCAAGGAGGAGAAGCCTCATCGAAGGGCAAGGGAGGCCCTTAGCGGCAGGGATTTCTAGGTATTCTGAGTCCCCCAAATTAACTGCTCCAATTCCCTGGGCCCTGCTCTTCCCAGGACACTGGAAGATACTGTGTGTTCAGCTAACATTATGGTTTAAAATCCCATGGGATTAAACTTGGTGGGATTTAATTTTTTACTAAAATACCTCTGTTCGGAGGCCACATACATAAAGGACTTTTTTTTTTTTTTTTTTTTTTTTTTTACATGACCATTGAAGGTTCTTGGATTTTTCTTGTACCTTGATCCAAGCAGGTGTGGTTTGGAGCTCCTCATTCTACATCTCACCTTAGGGGCCTCGGATCTCTCATATCTTTTCCCGTCTTCCATGGCAGTGGTAATCCAAAACCTTTCCTTCCCTCCATGAGTGGTTGATGCAAGATGAGCACAGATGCATTTAATTAAGACATTGACCACTGGGTGCCATGAGCTGTTGGAATCACATTCTGGATATTAAATAGGACTTTGCAATCTACCTAATCTAGGTTACAGAATCAATTCCCAATTTCTTCATATTTCCTGGAGAGTCTGTTTCCTGAAACCCACTCCTGGGATCAATTTCCATATCAACCATAGTTCTTGATTGCAGGCAACTGAAACTGATCTGATTATAATTAACCTGACAACAACTCCACCCCCACCCCACCCCTAATTTTTGAAAAGGTACTGGGGGCTCATAGAACTAAACAGACTCTGAAGGATCAGGTTCATAAAGTGCCAGGAACAGGAGCTCTGAAAGTGTTGGTTGATCTTACAAGCTGGTTCCAGTTCTATGTTAGAGAGAAATTACGAAAAGTAGTAAAAGGCATAAAAAGATCTTATTTATATATGTGTAGTATGTGTAATGAAAATATCTACCATTGACTTAAAAAAATTTTTTTTATGTTTATTCATTTTTGAGAGAGAGAGAGATAGAGTGTGAGCAGGGAAGGGCAGAGAGAGAGGGAGACACAGAATCTGAAGCAGGCCCCAGGTTCTGAGCTGTCAGCACAGAACCGGATGCGGGGCTTGAACTCACAAACTGTGAGGTCATGACTTGAGCCGAAGTTGGATGCTTAATCAACTGAGCCACCTAGATGCCCCCTCCACCACTGACTTTTAATTGTGATTTTACCACTAACTAGTTGTATAACCTTGCATTTTGCATTCTGAGCCTTAATAACACCCTATGTAAAAAGAACCAGTTTAGAGCCTGTTTAAACTATGGCTTCCTTCTAGCTTTCATATTCCTTGAGTCTATACCAACAGCGAGGACCTGTCTGAGACCTCTTCTCTCCTGAGCCGGTGCCCCTGGGAAGAACACAGCTAGGGAAGCACAGACCACTTCTGTTAAAACCCCAATGCAGCCACGGAATCCTTCTCAACGCAGAGCTCCAGACAGCTACTAGCCGTCGGCTGGAATCTGCACGGAATGGGAAATCAATTTGCCATTCTCTCTCTGTACTTGTTCTGTTTTCACAGGATGAGCTAAACCAGAAGAGCCAAGACATCCAAAGAGCATCAGGAAAAGTCTTTGCTGAAAAGAATCTTCAAGACCAGCTTGTGCCCTGCTGCTAAACATCAGTTCAGCTTGTAAAATCTCCGTGGTAACACCGTACAATAAGGTACCATCCAGTCAGCCTGGAAGTTTCATCATATAACTCAAACATGCTTCAGGGGCTCTCAGTATGGTGTCCTTCACTCCATTCTTAAAGGCCTTGTTTTTTGTCCTCCATTCTCCTTGTCCACACACCTGACGACTGTCCCATTATATTCTGCTGGAACCCTCCAAACTAACCATAATGGAACTGAGGGAAACCTAGAAAAGCCCTGGATCCGATTCACTTGGTCTCCATAATCAAAAGACTCTGGAAACAGAAATGTCAGGACTTTGTAAATTTCAATCAGGACAAAGTAGGGGAGAAGCAGTCTACTGAAAGAAAAACTATTTTCAAAAATGAAACGGAGTCTTGACGATTCTCCCAACTTAGAAGGCTCATCTCACCAAATACGATGCATTGGTCAGGGTTAGTTTTGGCTACAGATACCACAAAGACTCGACGTCACGGTGCCTTGGAGCAGGGAATAACAGGTGCCAGCCCATGGACTCAATCCAGCCTGCTGCCTATTTTGGTATATTGAAATTTTATTTGAACACAGTCACTCCTGTGTGTATGTGTTGTCTGTGGCTGCTTCTGTAATCCACCAGTAGAGCTGCACAGTTGTGAAAGAGATCTATGTGGCCTCCAGAGCCTAAAAGGTTTATTAGCTGGCTCTTTACTAAACAAGTTTGTAACTTGTTGCTTTGTAACTTGTAAGTTTGTAAGTTGTTAACTGCTGCCTTAGAGTATCAATGTAGTTCCCTCTCATAAGTAAGTCCAGAGGCCAGCAACACAGGAGTTAATAGTGTCATCAGGGAAAGGACTCCCTCTGTCTTTTCTGCTTTGACATCCTAGCACATGGCTTTCCTCATCAAGATGACCCCATGGTTTCATGGTCCAGAATGGCTTCTGAGACTCTTATTACCATTTCTAAAAAGCAAGCTAGAAGAAAGAGGAAAAGCAGAAGATTAAAGGCTGGGGGGGGGGGGGGCCCCCCCCCCCTGCCTTCCTGATGAGCCCTGATTAAGTAGCTTTCCTGAAGTCCCGCAAAAACACTTCCATCTACATTTTATTTGCCAGAACTTATCCATTTGCCATATCTAGCTGCAAAGCAGACTGGGAAATAAAGATTAAAAAAAATTGGTAACCATGTGCCCCACTCAAAATAAGTGTATTACTTTGGAGAAAAGAAACAATGTATGCTGAGTTAGCAGGTAGCAGTCTTGGCTACCAAAGAGTATTTAGTGAAATCATGCATAGCAGATTTACTGATAACTGATACCTTGTTTCATTTGGGGATGGAAGTTTCTGAAGAATGCAGAATTTGTATTCTGGCATTACAAATTATACTTCTTTTGTCTTGTGTCTTAATCATTTGGTATGTGTATGTCTTATGTTTAATCACTTTGGTACGTCAATTAATATCAGTGACTTAGTCCATTTGGGCTCTTTTAATACAAATATCAAAACTATCACGCACTGGGAGGCTTAAACAACAAACACTTATTTCTTACAGTTCTGGAGTCCAAGGTCAAGGTGCCAGCAGATTGATGTGTCTGTTGAGGACCCAGTTTCTGGTTTATAGGCAGCTTTCTTCTCACTGGGCCTAACATTGGTAGAAAGAGAGTGAGAGAGCTCTCTTGGATCTCTTTTTTAAGGGCACTAAACCCATTCATGGGGGCTCCACTCTCATAACCTTATCACCTCCCAAAGGTTGCACCTCTTGTCACCATTGCCTTTTGGGTTAAGATTTCAACATATGGATTTGGGGGGGACACATTCAGTCCATCGCAGTGATTGATTGATTCACGCATACAACAAGACTTACTGAGGACCGACACTGTTCCAGGCACGGGGTGAGGCAAAGGCAAAGTGCAATAACCCCGAGTCCCTGCCCTCAAGGAGTCTGAGTCAACAGGGGAGAGAAGCAAGCACATGGACAATGGCGTTTCAGGGAGAGAAGTTTCCTGGGGAAGCAGATATCGATCGGCACACTATGGAAAGCACAGAGGAAGGTCTTGAGACTTGCGCTGAACATGGAAGAACTAGCTAGAAGAATTTTGCAGGGTGAAGGACTGGGAGCAAGGGCATTCCAATATGAGGAAGGAGTGTGTGCAAAGACATGAGAAGAGAGGGTGGGTACATGTAGCCTGGCTGAGCACAGGGTGTGCCGGGGGGCACAGGAGATTATCTGGAGAGGTGGGCACAGATCACCCCCAGAACAGAAGGGACCTCTGCATAAAAGGCACTGAGTTTCCTCTGGACAGTGATGAGTAGGCACTGAAGGATACCACTTAGGAGAGGGACACGATCAATCTGTGTTTCATAAAGCTCATTCTGGTCATAGTGAGGACAGACTGGGGTGGGGCAAGAAGTAGGAAGACAGCAGGAGCCTTCCATTTACTCCTTGTCACATATTTTGCAATTATGTTTAAGTTAAAGTATGATCTTGTATTGTTGTAAGAGAATATCCATTCAGCCAATGGCTACTTAGTAAGGGAATATAATGGATAAAATTAACCTATACAGTAAAACCTTGGATTGTGAGTTACTTCTTCTGGGAGTGTTCTGCAAGAGGACCAAACATTTCTAATAAATTTTAACTTGATAAATGAGCAATGTCTTCCAATACGAGTATTACATGACACTGAATGTCACATGATCACAACTGAGCCAATGGTTTCTGTCTCTCTCTGTCTCTGTCTCTTTCTGTCTCTGTCTCTCTCTCTCTCTCTGTCTCTCTCTCTCTCGCTCCGGGATTGTGGGTGATAATCAATGCAATGTCACATTCCTGCAAAATCCTCAAAAGGAGGCAAAAACAAGTGTCATTGGATAGGTTCCTTGTTAAATTTGCACGAAAAGGATTCCATTAAGCCAATAGATAGCAGTGATTCCATTAGTGATAGTGAAAGTCGTCCTACACAATAACCCCCCTCTCTCTTGTCTCCCTCACACCAGCCACGAAGGTTTTCAAAGGTAGGTGCAGGTGAATTTGTTTTTCTTTATATTTTGTATTTTATTATTTTGTGTCATATTACAGTATCTTAATAATTTTTATATGAATATTTTTGGGTTGTGGAATGAATCATCTGAGTTTCCATTATTACTTACGGGGAAATTCACTTTGATACGCAAGTGCTTTGGATTACGAGCGTGTTTCAAGAACGAATTATGCTCGCAAAACAAGGCTTTCCTGTATTTCTTTTCTTTTTCTTTCTTTCTTTTTTTTTTTTTTTTTTTAATGAGTTCAAGCCCCATGTTGGGCATAGAGCTTACTTTATTTTTTATTTTTTTAATTTATTTTTTTTTAATTTTTATTTTTTTTCAATATATGAAGTTTATTGTCAAATTGGTTTCCATACAACACCCAGTGCTCATCCCAAAAGGTGCCCTCCTCAATACCCATCACCCACCCTCCCCTCCTTCCCACCCCCCATCAACCCTCAGTTTGTTCTCAGTTTTTTAAGAGTCTCTTATGCTTTGGCTCTCTCCCACTCTAACCTCTTTTTTTTTCTTCCCCTCCCCCATGGCTTTCCTATATTTCATTTAATCTTTGCAGTCATTCTGTGGAGCCCCATCTTACACAGGAGGTAAGTGAGGCTGAGAAAGGTGAGGCGGCTTGCCTAAAATCTCACAGCTGACTAAACGGTAGAGTAGGGTTTGCATTAAGGTTTTATGATCCCAAGTCCAGTGCTCTTTAAAACTGCATGTTGAGAGCAACAAGCATTCCAGACTCAACCTGTCACCCCTACATCCAGTCCAGGCAGCACTATTTGCATATCTTGGCAGTAACATATCTTAGTGGCTTTAAATGTAGGAAAACACGGAGGCATTTCCCTTCAGTCACTTTATGAAGCAAGATATCAAGAGAATTTTATTAGGCTTTGGCAAATACTCTTAATAGGAAAAATCAACCATATATTTTATTATTCTTTTGTTCAGTGCTGTGGCAATTATTCAAACACTCATGAAAGATCTATGTTTCTCTATAATTCCAACTTTCTATTTGATTATAGTCCATGTTTCATCATTTATGAGAGGAGTAATAAGAATAGACTTATTCAAAATAGACTTGTTTAAAGTCTCAAATCGACTAAATTAAGTAATATTTTTATTTTTTTAATTGCTCACACAGATTTTTGTCTTCTCAGAAAGAACTTTCCAGATACTTGCTCTCTTCTCATGACCTCCATGTTTGAGCGGGAGGCTGCCCCTTATTTATTATGCCATCCTATACTCTGTAAAAACATTTGAAAGCCTGCATTGTGATAGTTTCCTCATCTTTTTTTTCTCCACTAGATAATAAGATCCTTGAAGTCAGCAACAGAGTATGTATTTGTATCTCTACAAATGCACACTAACTGGCATTTGATAGCCCACAATAATTGTTTCTGGATTAATTAATAAAATGCAGCAACAATATAACTAAACATACATAATTACATTTAAAATGGTACTGTAAGAATATTTAGCACATTAAAAAATCTACCTTTTCTATAATTTTACTGCAAAAAATCAAAAAGCTCTAGGAACAACTTCAGGGATGTAGAATTCAGTGGGGCTATTTAAGGCTTCATTTTGACATTTGTTAAGACTTAGGATCACGATGCTTTTTAAGAAGTTGATCCAGAGATGGCTGCTTCGTGGTTCCATTTTTTCCCCTCCATCACATCTCCCACGCAAAGCACAGGCTTTACAGATTAAGTCTGCCTTTCTTGGTTTAAAAGCAGAAAGTCTTTCTGTTTTGTTGAGTTGCTGTCTTACGAGAACAGATGCTGGCCATGCAAGCCTTTAAAATTCACTTTAATTTCTATTGTTTGACTGTTCTTCATGCTGGTACCTCACCTTTGGGACCTTCTAAGTTTTGGTCTGAATGGGAACTAACCTCAAGGGACCTCTTGTCTCAGGCACAGCCACTCAAAGCTCTCCTACACTCATACATCTTACCTTCTTTCCTCAGGAGTGCAACACCATATGGTACCACATTTACATTTCATGACTCAGTCTTAAGGCTTGGATAGGTGTAACTATAAAGTAATGAGACATTTTCCCCAGAAGATCAAACGTCATAATCTGGTAGGTCCTTTGCTCAGGATTGCCATCTTTCAGAATTGTTTATTTCCATGCC